ATCCATCCATCCATCTATCCATCTATCCATCTATCCATCTATCCATCTATCCATCTATCTATCTATCCATCCATCCATCCATCCATCCATCCATCCATCCATCCATCCATCCATCCATCCACCCATACACATCCACCCATACACATATAAATAACAAGCTTGTTATAGCAGATCTGCTGTTAACACCAGACTTTCCCGAATATGGCATCAATAGAGTTCAAATGATTATTAACGAATTATGATTAAATTACAACCTGATGGCGTCATCTATCACCTCCTCAGTCGACTCTTTCTCCTCTCTTTCTCCTCTCTCTGCACCCCTCCCCCGCAGGCCCTGCTGCATCCTTACTTCTTTTCCTCACCCCTTCCTGCTCACCACTCAGAGCTGCCGATCCCTCAGAGAGGGGGTAGACTTCCTCGCCAGCGTCTCCAGGCTCCGACCACTGACTTCTTGGTGGACCTGCCCCTGCAGAACAGTGTGGTAGACCCCTCACTGCTTCAGGGCTACACCTCCTGCTTCTAAGGAGGTGCCAGTCACGTGCAGCTGTTGTTGCTCTTAAATACGTTTTAAATATATTTACTTAAATATTGTTATCGATGTATAAATAATCTGTAATAAATGCTAAAGCAGTCAGCCCTTAACATGCTCCAAATCTGTAAACCCTTTTATCTTACATCCCAGAGATGTGTTTCTATTAATCTTAGTTCCTTGTTAGGGGACATTATTGTTGGTATCCAGTTGAGGCCACAGATATTGAATTGAATTTTTTTTTTTATGATCTTGTTTTGTTGTTGTGTATGTATATATATATATATATATATATGTGGTGTGTTTCACCAACTGTAAACTAACAACTGGAATTCTATTAAAAGTGAAAAAAAAATTGAGCAGCACAGTCATTTCTGTACTGAAGGCTTTCTTTTTTTTAAATGTTTAAGTCTTTTGTTTAAGTTATCAAAACAGGCTTCTTTCAGCTCTTCAACTTCAAAGTCAAACCATATTCAGGTAAGATCTGCAGAATATGCTGACATTTAGCTCCTGATACAGACAGGCTCAAAAATAGAAAAAAAAAAAGAAAAACACATCCCAGCACTCCTGGGATGTCTAATCCTCTGAAGACATACTTTTATTTACTTACATGTTTTATCATATTGTGGATTATACTGGCGCACCTTCAACTTACTTTACATCTGTCTGAAATTAACCGTCGTAGCAATGAGTGAATCTGGATTTTTCGAATGGTCTGTCGAAGATAATTAGATTTTAAGAAAAACTCTGAATTATCTTTTAAGTATTAGTTTTTTTTAAATATATCAAGATGCAGACTAACGTGACTTCATTGGTTATTGAATTGTATCCCAATGCATTTTACAAAAAAACAAACAGTCAGAGCTCCTCCCTGAACGCATGCCTTTTGCTTTACAACATCTCCCCACGTCTTCTGCCATTACAACAGTCAGACTCCAGCATCACTGTGACCGAGAGCAGCTCCACATTTACCGTAAGTCTCTTTGTAAGCATTTGATGATGTTGTAAGTCATAACTGTTTGGTCTGTGCAGCGTAGTTTGTTTTTTCAACTAAAACCACGTTTAAATTTATTATTTAAAAATTCAATTCATTTTTTTTCTCAATCCACCACTCGTTTGTTTAGCACAGATGTGCAGATGACTGCAAACAAAACAACAATTTAACTTGTTTGTCTCTGGACATTGTCAACTTTTGCTTAATTTACATATTGAAATTGTCAACTTGAATGAATCGTTTGGTTCGTTTGATCTTTTCTGGGAAAAATATATTTATTCTATTTATTCATTTTTAGCCATTTTGTCACCTAGTCTATTTCATGTCACATGCTTTCAGTTAATTTTATTTGACAAATTGATTAATCTTTAGTAATGTTATGGTTATGTTATGTTCTGTTTTACCTATACTGAGTTTAAATTAACAGTTAAATTAACTGTTAATTTAAACTCAGTTAAATTAACATTTAATTTTAAATTAACAGTTAAAATTAACAGTTAATCCCTTTTAACATGAAGAAATCTCCAGCAGATCCAAACTCAATGTCCATCTGCCTTGGCAGTAGACATACAACATTATAATATGTAAATCCGAAAAAATGATTAATGATGACCATCAAGTATGGGTTAACGTCTTGCTTCAATTTGTATTATATTATGTTTGCTAGGTTTTCTTTGACTGTCAACTTTTCTTATCTCTTTTCTCTGTTAACTCTTTAGCATTAAAAACTCCACTTATAAGAATATTTCATAATTTTTGACTGTCAACTTTTCTTATTTCTTTTCTCTGTCCGCTTTTTAGCTAACTCTTTAGCATTAAAAACTCCACTTTTTTTCATAGTCATTTACATGTTCATACATTTTTGTACCTTACAGGTTGCATCTTTCGTTACACTCCAATACTCAATCATGTCTTATGACACCACGCAGCAGGTCATCAGTCCCGATTTGTTGTTGGACGATTCAGACCGTCCATTAGACTACAATCATGTCCCGCCTTTTCGTACGCTCTCCATATATGGTAATACTCCCGTACCTATGCCTACTGGCTCCACATCTGGATGGAGCTGTCCCTTTGAAAACATGTGCCACGCCGCCTACCTGCCTGGTGATTGGCTACCGCCAGAGAGTAAGACATGGCCACGGCGTGGTCCTCCAGGTTAGCAGCTAACTCATTTGAAACTGACTTTCGTCCCGTTGAAGTTATTAACTACAGCTTGTTTGTGTTCTCAGAGAATTACGTGTGCATCCTTTGTGGAGCGAACAGGACTCCCCTGTGGAGAAGAGACGATGCGGGTCGGCATATGTGTCACAGCTGCAGCGTTGAGCGCGAAGAAATAGAAAAAGGAGTGCTGTTGAAGAGTAAACGAGTAAATAACACTTGCCCATTTAAAAAACGTAAATATGTTTCAGTCTCCTGTACCAAGACCCTTTTTATATCAGACCTGAAAAAGCCTCTTGGATGAGCGGTGAATCTTTTTCAACTTAATTACACGTTTAGTTGAAAGTTTAATTACTCAAGTGGAAAAACCTTGTTCTGGAAGAATGGAAAACTACCAAAGTAATAACTGCTTCCTGTTTCTGTCCACTTGATAAGTCAGGTTTGTAGAAGCAGTAATGTTTGAGTTGGCAGACATTAATGACTTTTTTTTCTTTCATGTTTTCAGACAGTGACTCGGCGTGAAGGAACCCGTTGTGTGAACTGCGACACTGCTGAAACAACACTGTGGAGAAAAAACAGTGAAGGACAACTGGTGTGTAACGCATGTGGACTTTACTACAAACTACACAAGGTATTACGCACAGTACGACAGCTTTGTCGCACTTGATTATAAAGCGAAAAACTCTCAATTGTACTACAGACCAGATTACAAATGATAATATATTAATTGTAGTTCAATTAACAACTGTACAATATATTAATTGTAGTTCAATTAACAACACATCAGTAGCTCAACTGTGCCTGTACTACCGCCGTGACACTGTATTGCACACTATTAAAACCTTGTTAAATACTAGAAAAGCACAATCACTGTGTTTCAGGTCAACAGACCACTGACATTGAAAAACGATAAAATCCAGACCAGGAAGCGCAAAGTGACCAATCACGGGATGTGTCACAAGAACAAGAGCCAATCAGAGCCCAGGACTGTGTGGAAAGATCAAACATTATTTATGAAGTAGTTCAGGCTTTCTGTGTAAAATATTGAAAATAAATTGCCTTTCTATGCTCAAAATCTTCTGTAGTAAATAATCTTCTTATTTTTTTTATGGAACAGCAGTGTTTTGGTAACCTGTAAACATAAAAACCAGAAATAAAATAAAACTTTTTTTTTCCCAGAAATGCTGGTCTTGTTGTCACTCATTTTTTTAAAAATTGGGCACAGGATTTGAATGTATGAAGAGAGCACACAGTGATGATGAAGACAACGTGCTGCCCTGCAGTATGTTTCCTTCCCCTCCTCTTGCCCCCTGATGGAGGCCGATGTTGTGCAACGTCGGGGGCTTCTGGTTTTCCGGAGAGGAAAAGTTAGATGGGGAGAAGACATCAGATACCAAAGGCAGATTATCAACCACAACACTCACACACGCACAGATGGGACTACACACTCGTACACAAAAGTCTTGAACAGTTGGTGCATGGTCGACAAACGTTGAAAACTTTAGACCACAATCTGAAAGCGAAAACTTAGCCCCTCCCTCCTTGTGCAATACAATTAAAAAAAACAACAAAACCTTTCAGGCTGAAGAAAAGGCAGATCGCAGATCAACGGTGGATTTTGTGGTCAATGTTTATCAACTATCAAGCATAAGCCGCTTAGCTGCAGCCTACAAAGATCATAATATGTGGCATTTAACACTAGCACAGGTCAGGTAAATATATAATAAATCATCAAATAAATAAACAAATCTATTTGTTTTTCTGTCTGTCTATCTACCTATCTATCTATCCACCCATCCATCCATCCATCTATCCATCCATCCATCCATCCATCTATATATCCCTAATAGAATGTGTCACTTTTTTGATGAAGATTCTTCTTTGTTCCATGTAAATGTGCTTACTCTATGAGTAAAGGTAGATACGTCCAGTGGAATAAGGCATTCTGGACAGAAGTGTGCCACTGCTGTATTGTATGTATACCCTCAGGTGGTCACAAGAGATTTTTGGGTTTTTTTTGGGTCGTCTCGTCTCGCATTGTGTTTCCCAGGGGTTTACGAATAATAATGTTGATTGACTTGGGTCGCAAAGATTTGTGACTTTTAAAGTATGGGTCCCCAGAGAACAAAAAAAAATTGGGAAACACTGGTATAGACATGTACCGGGAAATTATTTCTGATAGGTTCAAATAGAAGCTTTATTGTTGAAAATCTTGCGCTCAAAAATGTTAATATTTTATCAATCGATAAAGAATATAAATCAGTGATCATTGATTTTGTTAAGTGGTATGAAGTGAACTGCCTTCAAATCAACACCACCAAACACCAAGGAGATGGTGATTGGTTTTCGTAGGAGAACCTCCCACCATACACCAGTGAGCATTCAGGGCAACGATATAGAGATGGTCGAGGATTACAAATATATCTGGGTGTTCACTTGAACAATAAACTGGACCCGTCTACAAACACCGGTGTCCTCTCCACCAACTGAGGAGACAGTTTCCTGGGGGTATGTAGGACACTCCTCAGAACCTTTTATGACTCTGTGGTGGTGTCTGCGTCCGTCACGCCATCATCTGTTGGGGGAGTGGACCTACATACACAGGTGAAGCCAATCATGAGAAAGGGCATTTAAGGTGGCCTGTTGCAAGTTGTTCTCCCCTATGCATCTTCTCTGAAGACTGGCAACATGGGAGCCTCAAAAAAAAAAAAAAACTGTCAAATGACCTGCAAACAAAGATCGTTCAGTATCATGGTTTAGGGGAAGGATACAAAAAGCTAGCTCAGAGATGGAAGACCACAGGCACAGTTCTAGAAAAATCTCTATGGGAGAGTAATGCGGCAGAAGACTTTTCTGGCGCCCATGCCACAAAAAGAGTCGCTTGAGGTATGCTAAAGCACATTT